GAAGATGAGCCTTCTTGGTTTGTGCTGTTGGGTTCTTGAGATGACTTGGAGATTAGTAACTCAGAGTCATCACCAAACTCCTCTTTATACATCTCTTCGATCATCGGTTTCCATAGACGAACTCTCGCGTTTATGAACCAATTAGCAACCTAATCACAGTGCAGAGAAACCAGAGTGACTCAAGCAGAACACACAAAGATTGCAACTTTAAGGGAAAGACAAAGAGCTCGGTTTACCTGGTTTTTCGACAGTCCTGTCTGTTTCGCAAGCATGATTTTCTCAGATTCTTTCGGGTATCTACAAATCAAAAACCAGAAGAAAACATAAATAAAGTCTCTTAAATGTTCTGTAATGGGAAACTTGAAAAGGGTTGTGAACACATACGGATGAAGGAAATGTTCAAAGAGCCAAGCGCGAAGAACAGAGACAGAGTTTTCAGGGAGACCTCTTTGAGGTCTCCAAGCGGGTCGAACCATTCCAAGCTGTTGATGCAAAGCTCTTTGCTGTCTCAAACGTTGATCTAAATACCTGAGTCTTGGTATTCTCTCTCCTTGTTGCTCATCCAATGACTCTCCTCCTTTCTCTCCAAGCTTTTCTCTGATTATCTGAATTTGTTCCTTTATCGAGTCGCGTAGAGAGCGGAAATGGCAAGAGATTCTGTTGAGAGCGACTGATGTGTACGCCTTAGCTGATCCAAGCCCTGCTACTATCTCAAATGATGAAGCTAATGCCTCCATTTGATGGTAATATTGGTTATACCTTTTATCTACCTGCAATCATTAGCACATCCACAACAAGCAAAGATCCCTCATCAACTCTCTCAATCCGGTTTAAACCGATCCAATATCGAACTGAAATTACCAATCGAAAAAGTGAAATCAAAGAGGACATAAACCGATTCAATTTCACTAAGAAAACAAACCGATTAAACCCTTCAAGTTCTTTGAGCAAACCTCTAAACTAAGAATTATATTACACAAAAAAACCGAATCCATATCTAAATTGGGATCAAAACTTGGTCGGAAGATAGGTGTAGTGGTTGGGGATGAAACTCAATTTTGGTTTCTATATTTCATAAACCGAAAAACCGAATCGAAATCGAACCAAAAACCAGATTAGGCATATCTACTTCCAACAAGAACAAAAGATCATCTGCCAAATGAATAACTAGTTTTTAAGAGATGTGAGTTAGTTAAATAACTACCTCATCAATCATTAACAAAAGCTTGTTCTTCTTTTTCTGAAGCTCCTCACGTTCATTAGTAGATAACTCTACTGATTTCGCATTCGAATCACTCGATAACTCGCCACCGCCTCCTCCTCCTGATTCCTTGGAACCATTGTTAAAGTCTTCAACTTTCTTCTTCTTCCTCGTCTGATTTAGCTCTTTCTTGACACTAACCACTTCATCGAGCAAATTCTGCGCCGGTTTAAGATACCGAGAACGCAAAACACTGCTCATAAACCCTCCTGATGTTTCATTATACCTATAATTATTGTAGAATCCAACTCCACCATTACCACCATAACCAGAGGAAGGATCAGATTGACCCAACAACAACATCTCTTTGTTCTTCACACTAATCTCATCCACATGAAACGGTGACGTTTCTTTCACTGAGATTGGAGGATTTTGTGTAAAACCCAATTGGTACTGATGATAGTTAAACGAAGGAACAGAGATCTGAGTTCCAAGACTTAAAGACAGTCCTTGACCGTCGTGAAAGCTTAAGTCACTGCTCGAAACGGCACCGTTTCCTGTAACGTCTCCGGTGTTTGGTGGAATGAAAACCATCTCGTTACGAACGTTATCTCCGCCGGAGACGGCGAAAGAAGCGACGGCGGAAGAAGAAGAAGC